CTCGGGTTATATCGACGCCGTCGTCATCCAGTACCCTTCTCCCCCCCACTCCACCCCCATCCCTGCCCGTCTCTTAGGGAGGCACCTTCACGCCCGATGTGCTTCTGTTTGTACACCCTCCTTTCACTTCAGGGAGGGAGCAGCATCTGGTTTGGGAAGAGTTGCTTGTCGCCTATATGAAAGTAGCCCTTGGCTGCAGGGAAGCAGGGCACAGAAGGGTTGGACAGCAAAATAGCGGGCAAAGAAACTCAGATGGCTGCCACAGCTGCTCCTGGTGGAGTGGCACAAGTGGCAGGGAGTTACTCCCTCCTTCACCCCCACCCCATTTGTGGATTGACTTCCCTACTCAACTGGAATGTGATACACAGAGTGGTGCAGCGGATACAGTGAGGGACTAGGACTCACGTTCAGATCCCTTTTGGCCATGGAAACCCACTGGGAGCATGAAATTGGCAAAACCACTCCTTAAATATCTTATTTATCGCCCTGAAAACGCAGGAGACTTTTCCTAAACTCTTGTAGCTTTTCCAGCCTCTGTGGTTACTAAATTGCAATATAAAGCCCTAAACGGTTTAGGACCTCGATACTTGGCGGAACGCTTACTCCCAACTAGCTCTACCCGTGTCACCCGCGCAAGCCAGGAGGTGAGGCTGAGGAGCCTGACGCCAAGGGAGGCCCGGAAGGAAAGAACTAGAAACCGGGCCTTCTCGGCGGTGGCTCCCCGCCTCTGGAATAACCTACCTCTGGAGATTTACGCTGCACCCTCGCTGGGGACTTTTAAGAACCAACTAAAAACGTGGATGTATAGGCAGACCTTCCCTTCCAGCTAATTCCTGTCCTCTTTCCTTTTTTCTCTCTATTTGATTTATTTTGTATTTTTCCCATTGCAAAATCATTTAATTAATTAATTGTTATAAAATTTTCTTGAACTTGTTATGTTTTATGTTGTAAGCCGCCTAGAGTGGTCGAAATGACTAGATAGGCGGGGTATAAATACAATAAGTAATAATAATAAATTCCCTCCCCCTAAAATGTATCATCACAACTTCCTGGAGCAAAGGGGAAGCTGGTGGAGGTCCCTGAATCTACAAGGCACCCCAAGAGCTAAAGAATAATCTTTAGAGAAACCCTTAGAATGGGAGCACATCATCTTTAAATAGGGAGGCATTGCACTTGTGAGATTCTGGGGGAGGAAAGGGAAGCAGGAATGTATGCAAGGGTCACGTCACTGTACTCAGATATAATCACACATGCATTTACACATTCCCATCCCATTACTACCACTTTGCTCAGTGTTAGAATGGCTATTTAGATCTTTAGCCCAGAGAGGGGAGGACTAATGATGGATTACCTAAAAGATAATGCCTTATTCTAAGAATCCTCTAAGGGAGGACAGATAAGGCTACATGGATGGTTTATTGTGAATCAGAGGGACATATATTTTACTAATAAAGCAGACAGGATCAAGTGTGAGGTTTTATGCTACTTTTTAGCAGACCCAACCTAACCTTCACCAACCTGATGTCTTCTAGATGGTGTTGGAATGTTAATTCCTCCTAGTCTCAGCCAGCATGGGCAATGGTCATGATAAGGCTGGTACTCCAAAATGCCTGGATGGCAGCACGTTGAAAAAGATTGACTAAGACACTGAATATTGCAGTGCAGTTTTAATACTGTGTGCATCTCTGGAAAATAAGCTTTTTACTTCTGCCCCTGCCGACTCCTGTAAATTGTGTCTGGTTGGCTACATTGATTTCATTTGGGAAAACCTGATTTCCATGGTTGTGAATCAAAGTGGATCAAAGAGGGACATATAGGGACGTGGTGGTGCTGCGGGTTAAACTGCAGAAACTTCTGTGCTGCAAGGTCAGTAGACCTGCAGTCGTACGATCGAATCCACAAAACAGAGTGAGCTCCCGTCACTAGTCCGAGCTCCCACCAACCTATCAGTTTGAAAGCATGCAAATGCAAGTAGATAAATAGGTACCACCTCGGTGGGAAGGTAAACGGTGTTCCGTGTCTACTCGCACTGGCCATGTGACCACGGAAGATTGTTTTCGGACAAAATGCTAGCTCTATGGGTTGGAAACAGAGATGAGCACTGCCCCCTAGAGTCGGACATGACTGGACAAATTGTCAAGGGGAACCTTTACCTAGTTGCACCCTAAGTGAGCGTTTGCTGGGTAAACAGTCTGTTACTACTAATAAATGCTCAGAGGTGTGAACCTCACAAGTCCTCCTTTGAAACATTTCCTTTATGAAAATGTCATGATCATATTTATGCAACATAATCACACTTGCTGATACATTTACGTATTTGGCATATCATATATGTGTTTTCCCTTCATTGCCATTGAACGCTAAGGCTTCTACCCAATATATCAGAGAATGCAAATTATAAAACCAAAGTTCTCACCCTGATTTCGCCTTGAAGAATCAACAAAACAAGAACCATAAGGGAGGCTCCACCCACAGCCAAGCAAAAGTTGGTGAGATTTCTGTTTATGCATCCTAAAGCAAGAAAGGAGCTGTTTATGAGTTTTCATCACAGACAATGTTTTAAGCTAAATTTCATTCACATTTGTCTGAAGACATTTATAAAAAATGTGAACAAAATGACTGAATCAGGGACATTTGTGTGATTTGAGGGCAAGTACAAGATGGAACAAAATGCTTCTAGTCACCTCGTAGTGCAGTAGCACCTCTATTGGCCCTTTCATGTTCCATGTGGTATTAATTGTATTAAAAAAACACTCAGCAATTTGAACTGAGGAAAGGAGATACGAA